ATTTTACATTTCAATCAAGAGAAAAAGGTCAGGCGGCATCAAATTAACCGGCTAGGGTTCGTAACCTTTGGTCTTAAACATTCTGCTAAGCCCACAGGCGGACAAGAAGCACTCGTCCTTGAAAAATTCGTGTTTGGGCACCCAGTTCTTGGGTACCCTTATTATCTCTCCGGTTGAGAGAGAGGTAGAGGTCAACTCAAAAAATCCGGAGTCTAGAATGGTCTCCCTATCATTGTCAGGAACTGGGGGCAGCCGGCATTTCTGCCCCAGAAGCTCTAGTTTTCGATTGTAGGTCCGGTACTCCTTGTTTTCCTCATCAGACGGGGCCTTGACCAGGTAGAACCGGTTCTTCTAGTCCGACCATTTGGACGGCTTGTCCAAGGTCATCATATATTGGGGCTGGGTTGTCAAGGTGTACCAGGCCCTCCAGCCGCCTGGGCTCCGGCTCAGATAGTGCATATGGGCAAACGCCTCCCAGCCGGGGTTGAGACCCTGCATCTCGCAGGCGGCGATGTACCCTAATATGTTCACCCAAGAATTCGGGGTGAGTTGCCAAACACCTAGGCCATACCCCCTAAGTATGGCCTTGATCGTGTTGTGAAGGGGGAAGCGGACGCCGGCTAGGAAAGCCGCCTCGTAGCATCCAAACCAACCGTTAGCGTTGGGCTGGTCATCTTCCCATACAACCGTCCCGAACTCCCCCGGTACGGTCATCTTGTATCCTTCACCAAGCGGCCTCCTGATGATAAAGTCTTGTAGAGAAGACCGCATGAGGGCGCGGTCCTTAAAGGAGACGGCGATCATGAGAGGGTCGTTTCGGCTTTGCCACGAAGGCCTCTTCGCCTCCTCGCTATCCTCTAACACGGTTAAGTAGCTGGAGCTACTGCTTTCAACCCGACCGTCATCGGAGCCGGATGGGGAGTTGGGAGCCTCATTGGCAGCTTCTGGCTGCTCAGCCTCCTCAGCCGGAGAGGTCTCCTCGTTGTAGGAGCCTAGAATGCTATCGCTTGGGGTGGAGGGGGTACCGCCGGATGGTTCTCTAACCTCCCCGTCTGGGCCTTGATTTTCAGGCGATAACTCGTTTGAGTCTCCGCCTCTGGGGTCCATAGTTGTTCCCCTAATTCTGGCCATGGTGTCCTGCACAGACACGGAGTCGGTCGATACAGGCGTTGAAAAGGGGAAATTCCAAAGATCAGAGGCGGCAGATCCAGTTCTAGACTCAGCCGTACTAATTGACCGGCTGAGTTCACAACTATGGTCCGGGTATGGGTATAAAGGGTCCATCTACCTATGGGACTTGTAAACAAAAATGCAAGCAAAAGACGCAAACGGAAATACATGGAAAAGCGAGAAAGAATAGAGACGGTACCTAGAGTAGAGTGTTGAAAACCTCAAGAAATTTCTCGGGGATGCTTGCGAAGACACAGACGGTTTGAAGACCGGCAGGGTTCTCTAGGGTACCCTCTCGAAAATCTTTTGCTTGCTTGCTACTTCACAGGCGGTCTGAAAACCGGCTGCTTGCAAACTATCAAATCTCCGTGTGCTCTGAATTTCAAGTATCGGATGCTCTTAAAAGTCGGATGCTCTCAAAATTCAAGAAAATTCACGAAGTTTGTAAATGAGCTCTTGAGTGTTTCCTCCCCTATTTATAGGGGTTGTCCCAGAAGGTGAAGGGGTGCGACCCTTCCCCTTCTGCTTTTCCCTCTTCCTTCAGTTAGAATTTGAAAGGGTTTTTTTTTTTTTAAAAAAAAAAAAAAAAAAAAAAAAAAAAACCTATCTTTCGTTAGCTCTCTTCTCAGGTGCCACGTGGCACCTTTCCACGTCAGCACCCGAGAGGGGCAAATGTTTGGGGTAAAATTACCCCAGCCGCGTGGCCCAATGGCTGAGCGACACGTGGCACCTTGCCATTGGTCAGCAGGGCTCCAATCCCCTGCTGACACGTGTCCTAGGAACCCTAAATGGGGAACCAATGCTCCCCACTATAAATAGTGGGAGAATCCTCATTAATGGGGCATGGAATATATACTCACTTGCATGCAATTGCATTCAAGACACTTACACCAAAACCGAGCAATATTAATTGCGGATTTCTCCCATTACGCGAGAAGTAACTTTACCCTTTTACGCATTTTCTTCCTCCCGTACATCACTGACTTGATCGTCGGAGGCGGAGCTCCATCCAACCGGAGTCTTCGTGGTTTTGCAGGTACAGGCGGTCGAAGGGAATTCTTGGAATTGTAACTCTCACGCAGGACACATCAAAAAAACCCCAAAACAAGGTCCATTGACGAGCAAGGAACTGAATGAAGTTCGGGACATATTGGCGTCTTTCATCACATTTAATTTAATTTGAACTTGTTAACAACATTAATAATTAGTATTATTGTTTGTAAATACAACACTTTTTTTTTATAAGGAGTTGTAAATATATGACACTTCATTGTATTGCATTTGGGATTATTAATGAATATTTATGTATTGTTGTTATTATGTCAATTTAGAAATTATTATTATTATTATTATTGTTATTGTAATATATATTGATGGTAGAATTAATGCAGGATGTGCAGGTTTTTATTATTATTATTAGTAATAATATATTTAATTTATAGCCAAAAATTAAAAAAAATTACAAAAAGGATTTTCCCACTGGTTCACAGTAGGAACCGGTGCCTAAAGTGGTGCTATTCTTTTAGGCGCGCAGGACTTTTGGCATCGGTTCTAAGCAAAAACCGGTGCGTAAAGGTCAGCTTTTCAAACCGGTTCTCCCCCAGAACTGGTGCGAAAAGTATGATTTTGCACCGATTTTGAACCTGTGCGAAAAGTCTGGGGTTTTAGCACCCCCCAAATCCGGATCGGTTCAAAACCGGTGCTAAATGGGGGGGTTTGAATCGGTGCGGATTATGTGTTTTCGCCTAGTGAAAGTAGGTGTCTACACAATGATTTAGATTGAAATTTCCAAGACTAAGAACTAAGATTTAATCAATAATTTGAGAGTCTTTGATGAAATACAATTGCTAACTAAGAGAAAAGCTATGGGAAATTGGATATCCGTACAAAAGAAGCCAAAGAAGTATTTATATCCCCCTAAATTACGTAGTAATCTCCGCTAGAAAGTTCGCAAGAAATTCCAAGCGCAATCGTGCCACGCCTTGGAGAGGTCGCGCCACTTTGAGTGAAAACTCAGGCAGGAACTCCAGCACTCAAGAAGAGAGGGCTCTCCAAATAACTGGAGAGGTCGTGCCTCCACTTTCTTCCAATTCTGCTTAAAGGGGGCAGAAACAAAAGAAGTAGGGTGGAGAGGTCGCGCCACACCAAACTCCTCAATACTACCAAAGGAGGCAGGAAGTTTAACACAGACCTTGGGAGAGGCTGTGCCATTGGTCTCTTCTCTTAATCTTAGCTCGAGCTCATTTTTCTTGGCTGCTTTCCATCCTCTTCTTGCTTTCAACTTTGGTTCTTTATCCATATGTTTCAATTGGTCGTCTTTGGACCCTAAATTGCAACAAAACACGAACAACCAGTGAAGCATGGGGTACACAAAAATTGTATAAAAATAGAGGGAAAATGAACCAAGACATCAATTTATCAAGGAATCAAGGTTCAAAAGCACCCAAAAATCATACCAAATAACAAGTTATCAGAATCCCAAAATTATCCTGAACTGGAAAAAGGTCTGGAAAGGAGAAGGCCATTCTAGCAGTAAGATCCTTCTCTAGAAGGTGGTGAACAAGGTCATTCCACTAGGGAGTGAACTCCTGAAACGAGGCATAGACACGGATGCAACTTGTGTACTTTGTAACGATGGGAATGATCCCTCTCAATTTCACATGGAGACGATGGAGCATCTTTTCAGAGACCGTGTCTAAGCGAAGCACATTTGGAAGGGTGGCCAGCTAAGGGTCAAGTCTGACAACCAGACCAGCAGTAGTTTGGAAAGTTGGGTCGCTAATTAGATTCACTGCTTGGGGAATGAACAGAGGAGGCATTTTAAAAGGAGTATTGTACTACATTTGCTTGTCCATAACAAGGGGCATTTATGTAATTACACATATGCATGAAAGAATGCATATCTTAAATTTAGGTTAGTATCATTCAATGATCAAATAATACCATTGAACTTCCAGTGGTACTATATATTTATATAGTGGTACTATATATGCATTCAATTGTACTAAATAATGCATCAATAATACCATTGAAGATCTAATGGTATTATATAAGCTTTTAATAAGTGACATTTATGTCACTCCTAGGCTAGGTTTTAGGCTTAATTTTTCTTAATTCCTTAGGTTTTCTTATCTCAATTTTACTCTCTTGGCTTTCTCGTGTGTTTGATGAAAGATTTACTTTATTATACTTGTTTTTAATGATTTGTGATATATTCTTTCATTATTTTCTCGCTCCTGTAATCTTTGTTGTCTCATTGTGGGTTTCATGGCAATCTTGAGCAATTGGAGGGTTCCTTGGCCAAGCTTATATTAGAAGCGTAGATGAAGGCACAAAGGCTAAGAGAAGAGGAGAAGATTAGAGGGGAAGGCTTCAAGCATGGGGTTCGAATCTTCAAGTCAGGAACATTTGAAGATTTTTAATCTTTAGAGGTTCGAGTGAACATTTCAGCAATTCGGTCGAACTTGGCTCAGGAAGGTTCGGTCAAACCTACCCTCTGTTCGACCAAACCTTACACTAGTAGAAAAATATAAATGCACACCAGTTCAAAACCGGCTTTCCGCATCGGTTTTGAACCGATTTAGATTTGAGGAGTGCGAATACGTGAAATTATACGCACAAGTTCAAAACCGGTGGTAATAACACTACTTTGCACCGGTTAACCGATGCGAATAATGCCTTCAAAAATTATAAAAAAAAAAGGAAAAAAAAAAAAGTTATTCGCACCGGTTTGAACCGATGCGAATAATGCCCGGTGCGAATAATGCCCAAAAAAATCAAAAAAAAATTTGTATTTTTTTCATATAAATTGAAATATAAACACTAACATATATATAAACTTATAATTTTCATTAATACAAAGCTGTAATATTACAATTTTCATTGAAAAAAAAAAGTTACAAAACATAGTTAAACACTGTAAACAGACCGACTGTAATAATATTAGCAGCAGCAAGAGCAGAATAGCAGTAACGTAGAGCAGAATAGCAGCAGGAGCATAGCAGCATTCAACATAAGGAGATGACTCATCTCCGTCAGCCTTGACCTTTATCCCACGTGAACAAACCAAAGCAAAGTCAGATGAAGCAAAATAAACAAAACAGCAGTTGAAGCTGCAGTAGCAGCCTGGCGAGGCAGCAGCTGCAGTAGCAGCCTGGCGAGGCCATGCACCTTGTGCTCGCAAAACAAAAACACGACCTGGCCCAACAAATTCACAAATCAAATGCCCAATACCAACTCCAATCATGAATACACACAGTAGCAAACAACAAAGATGACTATAGTGACATATTAATTATCAAATAAATCAAGTTGACTCACTCTCAATTGATGCGAATAGTATACAAAAATTAATCATAACTTGCAAAGCGCACTACTGCTTACAGAGAATGCAAATGTTATATATAAATGACAAAAATTAGAGACTCCATCTATTATATTGCAAAATCAAGTCCAATCAAGTCCTAAAAGCTACAGAATAGTCAAGATGCAATTAGCAAATAAAAACCAATGAAATGAGATTGTAAACCAGACACGACACTTTGGCAATGGATGCACGCCTAGCTTCTTGCTACTACGGTTACTCAACTTTAGCTAAACTTATCAAAAATGCTGATATATATATAACAGTCTGCCATACATATCAGAAACTGCTTAGAGTATGCACTATTTGGTTTGATGTGTGACTTTAATTTCCATCTTTTACATACTTCTAAACTATAAAACGGGCATTCAAAGAACTATAATTACATTCTAATAGCTAACAATGCAGGTACTTCTACTAAAAGGGCAGAGAATGAAAATGTTATATATAAATGACAAAAATTAGAGACTTCATCTATTAGTGACAAAAATTTAAGTTTAAAGATTCCTTGGTAAGTCAGAGAGCTTAGAAACCAAGGTATCGAATATTTTTGTGATGAAAAGTTAGCATTACCCAAGCAACCAAACCATATGAATTCTAAAGGCTCAAAAAAGAGAGTTTCATATTTAGTAAGCTGTACCATACCAAAATATTTTAATTACTACAAACAGATATTGTTAATCAGAAACTGAAAACCTATCTGCAAGGATAGGTGAATATTTTCATGGAGAATAGGGATGCAAGAGAAAGAGAACATCAAGCCAGATGATTAAAAGGAACACAAAATCTCATTCTGCAAGGGCAATATACTATACCTCCTCTCGAAGAAGCCCGGGAACTAAGGCATAAACCTCAAATCTATCTTTCTGCAAGAGAAGAGGAAGAAATTTAAACCAAACCATCAGCAGCAACACGACACATTAGCTTGAAGGGGTAGAATGTTACAACTGAGTTATTTAGGAACTAGGAACCAGTCTTAGAAAACTCACACTTTCTCTGACATTCATTTTCACCCAATCAACTGGGGTCCAGCATCCAAAACTGTTGGCACCGTCCTAAAATTGATAGGGAAATGTGGCTCAGTATCTACATAAGTCAGATGAGTTTAGAAAATTTACAATTTATACAAAAATTCTAGCCATTAGCTTTCTCCCCTAAGTTTTTGCAAGTGGTTTCTTTAATTTTTTTTTATTCCATTAATAGTCATATAACATGCAGCATTTAAAGTTGTTACAGATGCAGCTTAAACACAAACCAAAGGTGACTCCTAAAACTGAGTTATGTAATCTGATTTTAAACCCCCAAAACTTACTATCACTGAACTCAGGTTATGACCATATGAAGACTTATTTCCTAGGGATGGAGCCCTTGCGAAGTCTGCTAATATGGTCTCGGCTGTATAGTCATCAGGAAGCTCTGTTTATAAATCTGTGTCTGGTTTCATGTCCCACATATTCTGTCAAATGAAATCAAGGGCAAACGATCAATGCCAATAATTCCAACATAACCTTCAGCTGCATTCATAGCACACTAATAATTAAACCTACCCCATGATTCCAAATCAATGCCAACATATTACCATGTCCAAACTTCAGTCAACACTTAATGTAGAAAATTAAAAAAAGGAAGACAGAGGGAAATTATACTCAACATGCACATAGCATCAACAATCACCAGCAACCTTTATACACAAGCTCATGCAAGCAAACCAAGATTACAAGAATTAGAGAGGGAAATAAAATGGAGAGGGAAATAAAATGCAGTAGCAGCCTTGGCAAGGCAGCAGCTGCAGTAGCAGCCTTGCAAGGTAGCAGCTGCAGTAGCAGCCTTACGAGGCCATGCACCTCGTGCTCACAAAACAAGAACACGACCTGTCCCATTTATATAAGGCACCTTGTGCAGAAGCATTATGTATAACAATCATTCCCATTAGTTATATCATCATGCATTTCTTCATTTAAATTAGCAACATACATATAATAATCATTCCCATCTTCTATTCTTATCTACAAGCCTATAATAAAACTATTAGCATATCATCATGCATTTCTTCATTTAGAAAACAAAATTCAGACACCCTAATCTATAATCCAAATTCCCAATTTTACCCAATTTTCCAAATGAAACTTTCACAAAACAACTATATCAACCAATTCAACCATCATCTATACAATTTGACAAATTTCACGTTCAATAAAATTCAAATTCAATTCTTCCAAACCCAAACACAATAATTCAAAAATTATTGAAATTATACCAAATTTGCATAAAAAATAACAGCAATTTCGTAAGAAAAAACGTACCAAACCAACGACAATCAGGTTGAATACGAGAATAAACCAAATCACTAGACTGAAATTGCTGGCTCATAATCCAATATCCACCACAGTAAAAATTCAACATCCAAATAAAAAATTCTCCACAAAACAACACTTTCAAGTCTTCCATAACATCAACCCTAAGCAAATTAAAATTTAAGTTAAAACCCCCCAAAAAAACAACTATTTCATCAAATCAATAGACAATGAAAAAAAATCAGCAAATCAAGAAATTACACAATTAAATTGAGAGTAAAGAGAAAGAGGGATACAAGGATGAGATCGAAGAAGCTCCTGGTCAACTTTGACAGAATTAGCTCCATGGACATCCCCGTGTTGAATAAGAAAATCAGATACAATCAAAAACTTAACCATCAAAAATAGAAAAATTGATTGAACTCAAAACCCTAAATAACTTGAATTAGGGAATTCAAAAACGATTCTCAAATGTAATCAGCAAATTTAGAAGTAATTAGACCGAAAAATAACGTAAAGCTAAATAAATCAGAAACCCTAACCTCAAATTTCTGATTTTCGGTTCGAAATTGATTTGATTTTATTGTTATTGAAGAAGCACGAACATCCAATTGATTTGAAATAAATGCACCCAGAAACCCTAACCTCCATTATGGTTGAATCAAGCAATAGATGGTTGTATTACCCCGTATATTTATATGTATTTTAATTTAAATTATTATTTTATGAAGTTTTTAAATAATTTGAAATAAATTATTTATTGTATTTTATTAATTTAAAAGGTTTATTTTAATTAAAGGTCTATTTTTATTTATTTAATTACTTTGAAAATATTTTATTTTATTATTTAGAAACTTTGAGCATATAATTTTATTAAAGGTAGTTTGGTCAATGGAATTTTTAAAGGAAGTCAAATGACTAATTTGAATAGGAGAAGAGATCATTAAGGATAGAAAATAAATTTAAGGTTAGAAAGGTTTTGAAAGGGGGTCTAAATACCCATCTTATGAGCAAGTTAGACCTTGTCCAAAGTGGAGAATACTCAAAGATAAACTCTCTCTCTCCCCTCTTATTTTCTCTCCCTTAATTTTCCCCCCACCCCTTTTGCTTTCACCTTGCATGACACACACACACGCCGCACAGGTGACCGGCTGCCACCACCACCACCGGCCAGTCACCACCAGCAACCGCCGGTGGGAGGCGGCGGCAGCCGTCCTCCCTCCCCTTGTGCGTGTGGTTAAAAAAAAACACTTTTTTGTTTTAATTTTAATCTAGCCTTGATTTAATTATTATTTTTGGGTTATGTGATGATTTTATGGTATTTGAATAATAATTAGTATGTATATAATTTTCAAATTTAGTTTTTGAAGTAAAAAGCCCCAAATTGAAAACATTAGGTTTCTAAATTAATGTATATTGATGGAAATTGATTGAAGTTGATTGGAATTATGGAAATAGGTCTTTTTAAACATAAATACAACAATTTTACATGTTTTTATAAAGGTGGAATTTTTATATAAAGGTTAGAATTATGTTTCTTGAAAGGATTTTTAATTACCCATTAATTGGGAATAAAAGTAGGGGTTTTAAATTAATTTTCAGCTTGTTTTAGAGGGTTTATAAGTGATTTAAAGAGTATATATATTGCTGGAAATTTATATTAAATAGGTATTAATGTCTCTTTGTAATTTTGGGTTGTAGGAGATTTCCAAGCGAGTGATTTTATGTAGTCGTGGCGATTTTGAGACCATATTCCAGGTACGTTCGTGTACTCGATAATTATTGAAGTGTATAGAGGCATGCTAGGCTTTGTTTAATTAATTCCGAGATAATATCATGATAGGTATTGGTTGGAATTGTTGATTGGATTGATGTTGGTGATTGATTAGTGAAGTATGAATTATTTGTGGTAAATTGATGATTGGAATTAATTATGTTGGCATGTTGAATATAAACCACACTTTTATTATTGGCATGATTAAGAGCATGTTTAATTAAACTAAATGTTTAATTTGGTTTGGAATGTAAAAAGGGAATTTCATGATGGTTCATATAATTTTATTGATGCTTTAAGCATGAGAATTGAGCTATTAAGTGTCTTAGTACACAAGAATAAAATGTATTGCGGTGCCTAAGTGCACTTAAGGTATTCTAAACACCGAGGGATAGGATTTGCGGTGCTTTATGCGCTTAAGGTGTTATTTAACGCTGAGATAGTTTAAAAAGGGGATTTGTTAAACATCGCCCACAAATTACTACATAAAGCCCACAAAATTAATATGATTTGACAGTTTTGCCCCTTTGTCAATTTTCTCTGAAAACGAAAATTTCACTCACCGAAAAATGTGGAGTCGTACGGGGACGCCGGGGAAGGCCGGAGATCCGGGGGACGACGAATGTCATCGGAAAAGATGGCTAGCGTCCGGAGGAGCCGCCACCACCGTGGCACCGGCCAGTGGTGGCACCGGCGCCTGGCCGGGACGCCGCCACCATGGCGGTGGCGCCTAGCCAGGACGCCTGTACCATGGTTGAGGCTTCCAGGCCAGGCGCCATGACCATGGTACTGGCGTCCCAGCTAGGCGCCACCACCATGGTGGCGGCGTCCTGGCCAGGCACCGGATCCAAGGTGGTGGTCCGGCCATTTAATATATATATATATATATATATATATATATATATATAACTTGCTTAAAATTCAAAATAAAAAATTTTCTCAGTTACCAACAAAAAAAAACAAAATATTAAAAAAAAAAAAAAGAAATTTTTTTTCTCAATTTCCAACAAAAAAAACACAATATTACACAAAAAAAAGAAACAAAAAATTATCAATTTCCAACAAAAAAAAAACATGATATTACACAAAAATAGAAAAAAAAATCTTAATTTCCAAAAAAAAAAATATTATACAAAAAAAAATTAAAAAAAAATAACAAAACAACCACGGCAAGGTGGTGGGGCGCCTGGCCAGGACGGCCGACGACTGGTGGTGGCGCCAGGTCCGGCAGCCACGTCCACCGGCCTGGCGTCTGGGCAGGACGCCCAGCCACAGTGACTGGCGCCTGTCCCAAACGCCACTCACAGTGGCTGGGCGTCCTGCCCAGACGCCAGGCCGGTGGACGTGGCTGCCGGACCTGGCGTCACCACCACCTTGCCGCCACGAGCCTCGACATCCCCGTACTTTGATTTTTATTGAGGTTATGTTTTTTTTTAAGGTCAAGGGCAATATTGTAACTTCAATATAAGTTTGCGGGCTTTATGTGGAGATTTGCGGGCGATGTTTAGCAATCCACTTAAAAGGGTTCAACATTAAATTTATGTGGTCACTAATTATTCAAGAATTAAATTGGTGTGTTTGATTGCTTGAATGATTTATTAAGATTGATTGTATTATGGTTTGAGAGTCATCACCAAGTCTAAAATTACGTAAAATAACGTAAAGTGAAAGAGATCACGCACCAAAACTCTTAGAACATATATACCTTGAGTATGGACATATGGGGGGAGTTATGAGACTTTATATTTGATCATAAATTCTAATGGGAGTACAAGACGCTGTATTTTCCTTAATTTATTTTATACGCGGGACGTCCAGTCACTTTCATGTGGAATTTGCCTACCCAATTTGCTCTCGGTGTAATTTACCTCAATTTATTTGGGGCAGGGATTTGGTGGGAAACACGTGCGATGCGTAATCAAATTAAATAAGCAATTCATTTATTTATTGGTTGGTCGTTTGGTATGTTGTATGCTTGTAACAGCTGCAACAAGGTAAGTTGTGTGTTGATGGGATGAAAGCATGTTACTGTGTACTGTTTACGTTTATGTACTCATTGTGTGCTTGTATGTTTGTTTGGCCTTGTCTTTATCTTGGCCCTACGACGACCCATTTCTAATGGCGAGTAAAGAGAAGCTTTTCAGGTGATAATGCATATTCATGATGGGCATGAGTGACGACCAAATCATGCTTAGCTTCTATAATAATATGATGTGGTTTATTGTTTTTTATTATCATATATTTTGCCTGTGAGACTAACACAAATGTTTTTAAAATTCGTTTTGGGTTTTGATGAGGGCCTACAATGGTTCCAAGTTGTAGGTTGACTTCTTTTGACTTTTGTTTGACGTTACTTTCGTTTGGTTTGACTTTTTAAGTGAACTTGTTTTGAAAGATTTTTAAAGTGAGTCTTCCGTTGTGAGTCTTTGATAATTTTCTTAGCCGTTTTCACGGTGGCAGTAATGTCTTAGATTTTTCTAATTTGTATTCTAAAAAGAGCAACACAGGTATTTTAAAGAACAATAATTTCTAGGGCATTATAACGGCGGCAGCGATGATAATTGTATTTGGTTCGAATTGATGTCGATTTTCGAAGGAGAACGAGAACGAGAGTTGACAGAGAGAAGAAATGGAGATAAAAATTGGGCTGGCGGTGAAAGGGGTGGTGGTGGAAGCTAAGGAGTGCAGAGATAGAGGATAAAGAGATAAAGGATAGAGATAGACAGGGGGAACGAGATAAGAGAGAAAGGAGAGTGAGTGCGTGGTTATTAAAATGGGATTTTTTTTATAATTTGTACCGATTTTAAACGGTGCTCTAAACTCTTGAGAGCACCGGTTCAATCTGAACCGGTGGACTTTTTTTTTTACACTCTAAGCTTGCTTTTTAGCACCGGTTTTCATCAACCGGTGCTCATTTATGTTTTTCTACTAGTGTTATCCCGATTAATCCCTCATTTTGTATGGGCTATATAAGCCTTAAGTTAGAACGTTTTTAACACAACATTTTTAGCTTAGCCTAATCTAGGGTTTTTTGCCTAATCTTAGTGAGAGAAACAACAACCTTGTGATCTTGGATGATTTGTAATCAACCTTTTTGAAGATTAATGAAGCTCCATTAGTAATTTTTTTCTCTTAACTCTTCTTTTACTTGATTTATCTCTTTTATTTTGCTTGTTTATCATGTTGATGCTTGTTAGTTTGTTGATTAATCTTGTCATTAGCATGATTAGTGAGTAGTTCTCCAACTAAGAGGATGGTGGTGGTGTAGTTGGATCTTGAGCATGTTTTAGGCTTGGAATTGATTTATTTGTGATTAAAATGCTTTGTCTTCCATGTCTTATCAATTACTTCTATTGAGTGGCCAATCAATTGTTGTAGTCGGGTAGATTGAACTAGAATATGATGACAGTGTAGTCTAGGAATGTCCATTGTATGATTTGTTTGATTTGTACCTCGATTCGTGTGGCTTATGAAGACAGTGTAAGTTGTATTTGAGTTAAGAAATCAATAGCCACGACAGGTGGTTAGATTGTGCTTTAAATCATTGACAAGAGTCGCTTAGTTCACATTTCAATTCAATTTCATGCCTTGTTTATGCTTGAGTGAATGCTAAACCTAAACTATTTCCCTCAGTGCTTTATTTATTGATTTCTAGCCTATTTTTATTTCTTGCTTTGGTGTGTTTAGATTTTAGATTACACACTCTTTATCTTGAACTAGCTTAACTATAGATGATACTTGGTGGTGTTTAACTGTTCCCTG